AGACTTGAAGAGGTATTTCAGTTAAATATCAAGTGTAACGGTTTTGCTGGTGTCAGCAGCAAAAAGCGCTATTGTAAGACTGGAGGACACTGACTGAGTGCAGAGGACGAGAATAAACTGCGTAAGGATTAGCTCAGTCGGTAGAAAAAAGTTTGACAGCAGAGCGGGAGGCCGTTTGGGTTCAATTCCTGGGGCCGGACCAATACTAAGGGTCTTAAAAAAGGTCATGCCTTTGTCCTAGCTGCAAATTAAACGGCTAGACCTTCGCTTGCCCTCGGATGAACTCGTATAAAATGCAGTCCCGTTTCCAGTAAGTAGGAGACGCAAAAATAGTGTCCCCTACCAAGTATACTTTCGTGCTAAATACATTGACACTGAAATAATACAGATCAATACAAGTGACTGTATTTTTTTTCAATTCATCCCTCTCAGTCCTTATGTTCTCTGTACATCATCTTGCTTTCACCTAATCTGGTTATAAATCGAGTGTAGCCAATTTTGTCAGTTTCTGTATATTTGATTTCAATTAAAAGCTGTAACGTGAAATTAAATTGCGTATCAGTCCTTTTGAGTAATACATCCAGAATAGCATATCAAACAAGCTTTTAGATCCGCAAGAAATGACCCATCTCCTCCTGTCAAGAGTCAAATGAGAGGTCCTATTGGCGGTAGGACACGCAATACCTTTTGGGTTATCCATCCGTCCTTTTTTCCTTCTGTTTTTTTCTCGACGGAGACAGTTCATATGCCACGCATAGGCGAGAAAATCCCCGTGTATAAAAGACCCTTTACCCTCGATCGCCTCAGCAGTAAAGAGTCTTTGATACGCGGACATTTTTCCCGTTCATTAGCCCGACGGCTATGCCATGCTGATGAGCCCCAATAAGGGCGAAACAGCTGTCCGTGGCTGCCACTGCCCGGGTAATATGGCTGCGCGCATGCGTGAGTTACTGGTTAGGCCGTGGGTTGGTGCATGTGTGCCCCTTGCTTTAAGTTTGTCTTATAAAAGATAATGCAAAAGTAAGGTTTACATGAAGCATTACCCAAACGTCATTTTAAGGAATATTATGGTATTTTCCGCAATGGTTTACTTGGATTCCAAGCGTGCCTATCGCCCCACTTCACCTCACTCCCCCAACCAGCAGATTCATGCATACAAAAACTCCAATGTAAACAAAATTTGCGTTGCAGATATAAGATTCTTTAGCTCAGTGGAGATTTGGAGATTGTTTTTGTTTGATTCACCATTCTCACATTGCCCATATGCACCTACCATCTTGTTTAGCTCCCTCCCCCACCCCCTTCCCCCCTCCTCCTGGTGAAATTGGAAACAATGGTCATGGTGAACAAGGTGTACTAAGGGCAATGTGACAATGGTGAATGTGTTTTGAAAAGGGATTTTTTTCCCTCTTTAAATCACGCAACCCCTTGACCAGAGGGTGAATGGAAGGCTCCTAAAGTTATAAAGTAGAGATTTAAGAATTTCTTTGTTTCAGTTGGTTGAAAAGTTTGTTGCTTTAGCCTTGTATTTGTAGCTTTGGTTACTAACGTCGTGGTCGATTCTGATTCGATTCGTGAGTAAGAAAACAAATGAACTTGTCCATCTCATAAAAAGATGAAGTTTCTACCTGAACAGTGTGACCTGCTTGCATTAAACGAGGTGGGTATCATAAATCACCTTGATCAAAATTCAATCCAGTGCACGTATATTCTAAATTAGTAGTATTTACTAACATCTGCACTAAAATTAAATTCACTGAATAAATATTCGCAGTATACAGTTTATTCAAGATCTTCTGCAAAAAGGTATAAAGTTAAATCCCTGGCAACTACGTTTTATTTTTATCATCTGAAATCAGTCTTCACTTCTATTCAGCCAATCTCCTGTTATTTTGCGGCTAGTATGAGAGTCTGAGTTATATTCCATACGAATATCATCAATTATTAATGTCACTCATGCTGATAATATAACAGGAATAATTCTTCCTTTGTTTTAATACAGCGCGAAATATTCTCTTCACGCTGCCGTATGCCAGTGTTTCTAGGATCATACAGCAAACGAAAAAGTAAAATTTTACTGAATGCATTAGAATAATGATTATATAATATAAATTATTATCTAATTTTACGGTGGCTTTTTCTAGTTTCTATTGTAAATTATTATTATTATTTTTTTTCTTGTTTCAGTCTCATTTGGCAAGGTAAGGCGCTTAATGTCATTTGCGAACGAAAAAAAAAAACAATTTGTGAGAAACTGAATAGCAAAATTAAAAAAATAATAATAAATTAAAAAACCTGTACATTTGTATTTGTACGAGTGACACAACATTTTAGATTTGTGTTGCCTGTTCTTGATAATTATCCAAAAAGCTTCTCCACTACACTTAACAGTCACTCGGCTTGTTCAGGGGGAAGCTCGTTTTACTTAAATTAGGCGACTTTTTGTGAAAGACCGAGTATATTAGTCGCGCGAGTAGAAATCGACGGAGGCATGTTTACCGTATCAACTGCTATTTGTTTTGAGGTACTTCAGAAGTTAACCTGTTCAGTTTTCCCGGCACTTCATCATCTTTCTGTAAAGATTAATCGGAATAAATAGAACTTGTGCTGAGCGCCGAACCATTAG